TTAGGAGTAGACTTAAGCAAATATAAGTCCTCCAACTTTTTTCAATGTTTTTTTTTTTGTAGAATCAAGGTTTTCAACTTTTCACAAAACAATATTAGATAGGTGTACAATAATTGAAGTGTAAGCAAGTTCATCATATTCTTCTTCTTGTGCTTCTGTCAAATTTATAGAAAATTTGCCATCTATATGTCTTTTGAAACTTTTTGTTGAACCAAAATTCCCTTCATCTTTTGTTGTCAAATTGAAAAATTCAATTTTCCCATTGAAAATCCAAACTTCAAAATATGAAAACATTTTGAAAAACAAAACAATCAAAGTACACAAATAGGTCACACAAACTAATCCTAACGTCACAATATTCACGATCTCAATATCAAGGGTATGGTCAAACGGGTCAGATTCAGGTGTTCTAAGAAAATAATCAATGCAACATGAATGTATGTCAATAAAAAAACTCAATTTTTCACACAATACAGTCTCACACAGTGACTAAATGACAATTAAACACAAAATCAACTATCAACTTGTAATTAATTTTAGCACTTCAAATAGAGCAAATAATTCTTAAATTTATAGCATAAGCAAACGTTACTCCACACGGTAACCCCAATCCTAATGTCGCCCCACAAGATGACTCGCTAACGTTGAAATTAAACGGGATAAGCAATATACTAGAGTGAACCAATCTGAGTCCATAAATAATGAGAGATGCAAATTTACCACTTTAGGGCTGTCGCTATTCATCCTAAAGCTTCTAGCAACCGTAACAACCAATTGAGCAAAAAAAGAATCAGGATCCTGCCGGGGCAAAATCATCCCGATTCGCCGTATAACCAGAAACAAAAAACTAATAACACCAGAATGTTAGAAAAACAATAAGGATCAAATTGCATGAATGAAGCTTGTTTTAGACCATACAATGCCTTCTAAGTTTGAATACATTAAGAAGATATGGATTAATGAATCCTTTGGTTGCTAAATACAAACTTTTTCATTCAAAATGCATTCTTCACATCCACATGATAAAGTATGAATCCTATTTGACATGAAACAGACAAAAGAAGTCTAATGAATTCAAGTCTAGCCACAGGTGCAAAGTTTTATTAGAA